AACAATATTATTTCCCTTGCTCCCAGCTCTTTCTGTAATGCTGCAGTACTAAATGAAGCAAGTCTTAATTTGACTTAGGTTTTGAATCTGCCATCTCACTGGGGCTCTTTTCCATTCACATGGAATTATTTATTTCTATCAATGTTATCAAAGTCAGCACTCGTCTGCTACGTAACACACATGTCTATGGCAACATAGTCTCCCGATGCAAGAGAGTAAATAAACTGTATCTAACTCATGCCGACAATGATTTTGCAAGTCCAGAATTTGGATTTTACTTCTTATGTTGTAGATATAAATTAAATGAAAATAACTATTTATGGGACCTAGGCACTTCTACACGAGAGAGTGAGAGAGAGAGTGAGAGAGAGAGAGAGAGAGAGAGAGAGAGAGAGAGAGAGAGAGAGAGAGAGAGAGAGAGAGAGAGAGAGAGAGAGAGAGAGAGAGAGAGAGAGAGAGAGAGAGAGAGAGAGAGAGAGAGAGAGAGAGAGCATACAGCATCTAATACCTTGCAGTGTGGCCTACTTTCTCCAGTCACACCAGTACTGCTTTCTACAGACAGTTTGCCTGGGTGTTCATAGTTAGAATCATTTGCTAGTGCCCAACCTAATTTATCATGCATTTAAAGGTCATCATGACTTATGCAGAGTTGATGCTCAAGATGCTTTATCAGTAAACAAGACTATGTATGGTTGGAGTACTCTCCTGCCAGCTAACAGTAAACATGACATCCAGGGGTCTGTAACTTGACAAAACTCGCTGACCTTGAAAGATACAAACCTCTTGATGTAACATGATGCCATTACAGCGCACACCCCTCTGAATAATGGACTCTTCCTGGGACTGGTTTAAAGGGGTTTGAACACACAGCTTGGGGACTGATGAAGAAATGGGGACACTATTGAGATGCATTCTTCCCATTTCATAAACATCTTACATAATAGTTTTAAGTAACATTTGACATTATGTTTAAAAGCATGACTGGTTTTTAATTTTTGTTTGTTGGTTATTGTTTGACATGAACATATCCCAAGAACGAGGTGTTTACTGTTGGACACAACTGTAAACATTAAAAGTGTTCGACTGGTGACAGATGCATGACAAGGGCATACGGGCACACTTGTTTGTAGACCGAGGCCAGTCCATGTAGGTCACATAATGGCAGTTGTGATGACCTGGGCAGGATCCAGGGTTTGATCATGACAACAGGATTTGTTTTCCAACTTCGTAGGTTTTATTTTGTTATCAATGTCGGAGCTGTGTCATTGCAGTTAGTCTATAGTCATCTCTGGACCAGACAACCAGTGGTGGAAAGCAGGAGCAACTATCCACGAATACAGGGGGTTCTCAATGAGACTGGAAAATCTGATGGGATTGGTCATATATAGTAAGAGGGGAAGGTGTGTGTGTGTGTGTGTGTGTGTGTGTGTGTGTGAGAGAGAGAGAGAGAGAGAGAGAGAGAGAGAGAGAGAGAGAGAGAGAGAGACAGACAAACAGACAGACAGACAGACAAACAGAATGAGACGGAGCGAGAGAGAGAGACAGACAGACACAGACAGAGAGAGACAGACATTGAGAGACAGACAAACAGAGACAGACACACACACACACACACACACACAGAACAGACAGCAGAAAGAATGAGCAGAGAGAGAGGCAGACAGAGAGAGAGACAGACAGACACAGAGACAGAGAAAGAGAAACAGACAGAGCGAGAGAGACAGAGAGAGAGAGAGAGACAGACAGAGACAGACAGACAGAGAGAGAAAGACAAACAAACAGAGAGAGAGAGAACTGAAATGCCTTGTTACAACTGCTGTAAACTAAACATTACCTGTTCTAAGTTACTGGGAGAGAGGTAGTTGATCCAGACTGTCATTGTCTTCCCTACATTGTATTTGACCTTGTTGTCATTTTGTGCATTTGTGTATGTGTTTGCAGAAATCATACATGATATTCATATATTTAAAAAAACGATGAAATACATAGATGTAATGTACGTCAGACATCAAATTACCAACACACATCCTTCGTGAATTATAATGCTGTCCAAATTAGATTAACATTCAGAATCAGGGCACAATAGCTTGAAAACTTTGGCCCTTATCATGGACATGTATTTCATATAATGAGCTCACAGTTGTGCACCAAGACACAAGTCCCCTGACCTCTGCATGACTTCATGAAGGACCTGTTAACAGCTACATCCTAATTCATCGTCCTGGCAACATTGTTTATTTATGTGATCACAGTAATTTGTGGAACAACACAAGTTGCACTGTATGCCTAATAAAACCCAAAAATCCTATTTATTTGAAATATTTGGGATTATGGCAGGCTCATCAGGCTCACAGCCATCAGATTTTACAAATGCTCAAATACTTAAATAAATAGATTATTCTTGAGAAATAAAAATCTGATGTATGCACTGTTGAATTAAAAATGTTTACCTTTAAGATAGCAATTTTGACATCTTTGTTTACTGAATGGTTTAGCCATAATACAGCCCCAAAGTAAATTGAAATACAATCTGTTGGTAAATTTGAACACAGAGTTGGTCATACTTCATTTTTTCCTTCCTAATTTTCAGCATCATTGCAAATATTGTGATGCTTACAAGACAGGTAGTTGCTTCAGTACAGCCTTCGAAATAGCTATTTGCCCGCTAACCAAGCCAGCCAAATGCTAGCTGATTGTGAATCAGGCCAGTAATATATTGTTAAAGCTATACCGACTGGCAAGCTGAAAATCTCTGATAATTTGTTTTTATTTAATGCACATGAATATGATAAAGTCAATTAAGAAGATTTTAAAAATCTGCCTTCAAAAGTTTTGTGTTTGTTTAAGGGGCAACAATAACTTAGTATCTTCTACTACCAAACCACACTATATCTGACCGATGTGCATTTTGATATTGATATTTTGCTGGGCCAGTGAAGTTTGATGTGGGCTAGCCACATTTTTACTTAACTAGCCCTCCTGGCGAGTGACTTTTCAAAATTAATTCATGCACTGCTTCAGTACAACATCCATGCCCACCATCATACTAATGCTAGTTATCTGTCGAATGCCTGGAAGCTGTCACAGCAATAAAGAACAAATAAACCATTAAAAGCTTTAGGTCGTCACTTTCTTATAACTTCTCAATGTCAACGAAAGATAACATATGATTGGGAATTTTTTTCTTCACTTTTGGTCCTTTTGGATCTCATCATTTTCAGAAATGAATACATTTTTATAATGTATATTTTTTAGATATATACTTATAAATGTCAAAACAGACAAGATATTTTCATATTTTGTGATAAGAAGGTACGATAGGGAAATTTTGTTCCTTTTGATCTCATTTTCAGAAACGAGTACATTTTTATAATGTATATTTTTTAGATATATACTTCTACATGTCAATGAAGGATATTTTTGTATTTTGTGTGAAGGACAAATTATGATAGGGAAATTTGTGTTCCTCTTTGGCTCTTTAGCATCTCATAATTTTCAGAAATGATTAAATCTTTAATATTTATATATTTTTTTAAATATAAAAGTTACCATATGTTCATGTGAATGAGTGTTAGATTTTGTTCATTTCAATGCTCAGGTGTTTGGGACTTATAACAGCCTTAAATATAGAGGATGGTTATATAATGGGGACATACTGACTATACAGTAAACAAACTAGGTTTATACCGAACACACTTACGATGAATTGATGGAGATGTTGAAATGTTTGTTTTGTCCCTTCACATTTCCTGCACATTATATCAGGTGAGTGAGTGAGTGAGTTTAGTCTCATGCCGTTATTAGCAATATTACAGCAATATCATGGCAGGGGACACCAGAATTGGGCCAGGAGTTGCACATTGTACCCATTATATCATATAAACGTCAAAATGGACATAACAAAATATAGAAATAATGAAGTTAGTGGTCCCTTTTAGTTCTTTAAAACCCTACTTGTCTGTATAGTTTTTCATGTTGTGTTCATCTTTCCAAACAGACTGAGACTGATATACAATTGATAACCATTGTTGTTATAAATAAGATTAAATTATATAATCATTAAGCAGCTTGCAAGTTATTAGTGTGGTAGGCCAGTGTAAACATTATTTTGTAGCAAAATATTTCACAGAACATAACCTGTGTTCTAACAGCATTATATAAATAAATGTACACTGGAGTGAATCGTAGCATGACCTGTGAAGATCCGGGTTAGAACTGGTCCTCAGCAACACATGCTTGTCGTAAGACACTAACGAGATCGGGAGGTCAGGCTTGCCAACTTGGTTGACACGTCATCGTATCCCATTTGTGTAGATCAATGCTCATGCTGTTGATCACTGGATTGTCTGGTCCAGACTCGATCATTTACAGACCCCCACCATATAGCTGGAATATTGCTGAGTGCGGCATTAAACCACAAACAGACAGAATCAGAGGATGCAGATTAACATTGACATGACGGGGAACCAGTTGCCGACCACATGGCCACTGTCTGCTGTAGTCCACATGACCAGACTGACCAGGAACTCCAGACTGACCAGGAAGTCTGGGCTGGAAACAACAAACAGCTGTCATTACGTAGAGGGTAATGTCCAAGTAACTCTCCATTCCTTAAAAATAATGGAGCCAAGGCCCCGGAGGGGCCGAGGCACATTATTTTTAAGGAATGGAGAGTTACGAGGATATTACCCTACTTAAATTACATTCGAAGTATTGGGAATATTTCTGTTATCAAAATTAAATGTCAAAATGACAAAATGAAGGTTTTATTTTGAAACTGGTACACATCGCTCCATTCCTGAAAAGTAATGGAGCGAACAGACAATGGAATGACGTCACAAATGTAATTTAATTGGGTATAAATAATTGAGTCTACACACTCTGATGGAGATATTTGCTTGTTGACCTCATCAGGCTCTACAATAAGCAATGTTATCTCAAATGTCAGTGTCTGCTTTGTGTTTAATACTGAATTAAGCAATATTTCAGCTGTATTACAGAGACCTGTACATGATCCAGTCTGGTGACTGATGTCATGAAGATCATCTCAAGCCGTCCAGGTATGATGACTCAAGAGCCCCTCATCGACCTATTCCATACCCCAAGCCTAGGGACCCAGGTATGATGACTCCAGAATCCTGTGGGGTTATATGCTAGGGACCTATTCCATCCCAGAATCTTATGGGGTTATAGGTTGCTAGGGACCTATTCCATCCCAGAATCCTATGGGGTTATAGGTGGCTAGGGACCTATTCCATCCCAGAATCCTATGGGGTTATAGGTTGCTAGGGACCTATTCCATCCCAGAATCCTGTGGGGTTATAGGTTGCTAGGGACCTATTCCATCCCAGAATCCATCCCTAGGGAATCCCAGAATCCTATGGGGTTATAGGTTGCTAGGGACCTATTCCATCCCAGAATCCTATGGGGTTATAGGTTGCTAGGGACCTATTCCATCCCAGAATCCTATGGGGTTATAGGTTGCTAGGGACCTATTCCATACCAGAATCCTGGGGTTATGGAGGACCTATTCCATAATAGGTTGCTAGGGACCTATTCCATCCCAAGAATCCCAGAATAGGGACCTATTCCATCCATATCCTGTGGGGTTATAGGTTGCTAGGGACCTATTCCTATCCCAGAATCCCATGGGGTCATGGGTTGCTATGGAGATTATCTCCCAGAATCTCCATTGAGTTATAGGATGCTACAGACCTATCCTATCCCAGAATCCCATGGGGTCATGGGATGCTACAGACCTATTCTATCCTAGAATCCCATAGGGTCATAGGATGCTACAGACCTATTTTATCCCAGAATCCCATAGGGTCATGGGATGCTACAGACCTATTCTATCCCAGAATCCCATAAGGGTCATAGGAGTCGATCAATTAATGGAACCAACAAGCATAGTTGACAAAAAATTGCTGACAAAACTAAAACTCTGGATGAACCAGAATTAGAACAACAATCATAGACTTCTGGCACAAGTAAAGTTGTGGCACTCAACACAGTGATTTCCACCACCTTAGACAACACAAGACAAGGCCAAAGGGATTAGGCCAAAGCCAGTTAACTGTCCAAGCAAGTCTGTTTCATATGTGACAAGGAGCAGGAAGTCCTGGTTGCTGAAGATTATTTCTAACCCAGATGATGGGTCAAGGAACAGTAGATGAATAATCATAAGGCAGCATTGACACATCATGTATGTACCAGGATTAGAACACACAACTTTCTTCCAATATCAGTCAGAACTGATACATCGGTATGAACCATCGCTAAGCCAACCAGCACCAGCTCCAAGTTCCTACATGGAGGCTGAAAACAGTTGGCTCAAAGACACTTGCCAGTTCTGCTGCCTTCTGCTGGAACAATCTTCCAATCTCTGTAAAGACAGTGCCCACATTGAGCTCCTTCTAATCACTCCTGAAAGCCCACTTATTCAAACAATACACTGTCTAATCTTGTGGGATATCAAAATCATCTGCCTTCCTGCCATCCTTTAAGCACCTTGAGCATACTTAATTGTGTGGATTTTTGCACTATACAAGTTGCATTATTATTATTATTTCTAGGATGCCCAAAGGATGCAACTCTGCACAGACTAGCTATGATTCCAGTGACGGCACCAGCCCTGACCCTTTAAATGATCTGAGGAGGATCAATGCAGGAGTCAATGATTACTGCAAATCATGCTAATCACAAAGACACGAAGTCTCAGATCAACAGTAAGTAGATCTTGACCTACACTGGAAAAGGGCATTAGGATGTGGAGTGTATCCCCTTGTGAGATGGATTATTTTAATACAATCAAAATTAGTTATATTTATTGTATCTATGAATGAGTTAGTGTTACATTGTGTCAACGTCAACAGTACTGCAGTTGTATAATTGTGCTGGGGCCACAAAAACCAATAATAGATTGTAGGGGCATCAATGCATCACAGATTTACACCTAATGATAGGCTCCACAGTATGTTTTCATTCTGTATCAGTTTTCAGAATAATTCTGTAATAACGGGACCAGACGATCATATGGGCTAAGACAATCTATTGTGACAGAACTACTAAATCTAAAAGCATGATGCTGACTGAGCAATTCCAAAGTTACCAGCCATGTGAGTTTGACAGAAGCTGGTTGAACAATGTCATTAGTGCGGCCAAATGAGTGAGTGAGTGAGTAAGGTTTTACGCTGCTTTTAGCCGTATTCTAACAATATCGTGGCATTTGGCACCAGAAATAGGTTTCACACGTACCCATGTGGGGAATCGAACCCGGGAATTCAGCGTGACGAGTTGACACTTTAACCAGTAGGCTACCCCATTGCCCAGGTGGGCACAAGAGGCAATTCAAGAAAATGTTCAAAGTACTGTGTGTCAGCGAGTTTGTATTTCTGCCTTTTTCAACAGTATCCTTGTTACAACAGCTTGATGGAGTAAAGCCTGAATTGATGTAAGTCTCAGGTGTTGATCAATCCATGACACCTACTTGTACTGGTATGGCATTGACAAACCTTCAAACATAATCAGGGTCCACGGAGAATGGAATCCATGATTGTATGTTTTGGCATGACCAAGGTATAAATCTGTAGAGCGGATTGCCGCATCACAGGACGACCGGGTCACCTAGGACTCTAACATTGCGATGTGTATCAATACATTAAGTTGGTAGATCATGACAGCCAACATGGGCAACAATCATCTCCTGGATGATGTCACATGATTAATAATTAATAATAATAATAATAATTGATTTGTATAGCACCATCCTTCTAACATTTACTGCTCAGTGAAGCTTAAGAGTTTCTGATTAGTATGTCAACTTTGGATTAAAAATTGGAGTTTGACTGACTGACTGACTGACTGACTGAGTTTGGTTTTACGCCGCTTTTAGCAATATTCCAGCAACATCGCGGCATTGTGCCCATGTGGGGATTCGAACCCGGGTCTTCGGGGTGACGAATTGGAGTTCGAAGTTGCAGGCATCATCATGATTAACATGGTCAGACATTGTAAACAACAAATCCTCACTTAAGTTTGAGTGGAGGTAGCCTCATTGTTAAAGCATTTGCTCATCTCACCAAAGAGTTAAGACAAAATATGTTGTACTTAAGACACTTTCATGATCCCGTGGCCTGGGTTCAATTCCCCATACAGGTACAATGTGTGAAGCCTGTTTCTGGTGTTCCCTGTCATGATATCGCATGAATGCTGCTAAAAGCTGTATAAAATGTCACTCAGTCATTCACCCAAGACAAATATCAAAACATTCCACAAAAGAACAAAGCCACCATTGTGTTGTATGAATTATTTAATAGAAACCTGTCTTGCTGATAGACTTCCTATATGTACAAAATGACAACATAAACTGATATCAGCTTAGCAGAGTGGGCAGAGCTTAGCCCTGCCCTACTTACAGGCAATAGGAAATGTACAGGCTAGTGTGTGCCAATATATACAGACATGATTGAAGAGTTTTATTGTAACATCACACGGTTTGCATAAGAGCACATAGTTGCATCACAGAAAATATAAGTGGGAGACTGGACGATAAGCAAATCAAAACTCTTAACAACCATAGCTGATGAAGGGGTGATCGGAATTGTTACTTATCAGCTGATATTGACGGAGTTGATTTGGATTTCTCCTTCATTGTTTCAATGCTACATTTGAGTACAGATAAAGACGTTATACATGTAAATTATATGTATGTCTTTGGTACAGGTGCAAATACCTTCATGATGCAAAATGTCAGTTGCTCAAACAGGTACTTCCACCTGCATAGTGAAATGTTGTGTTGAAATAAAAAGTTAAAATCCATAAGCTGACTCGGTCTTCAGACACTTTAGCTTCTAAATCCATACTTTGATTGCAGCTTTGCAGAATGTCTTCTTCTTCCAACGTACACATCATCTCTGTACATACTTACAAAACAAAGTTAATCCTTAAACTTGGAAATAACAAAACATAGTTCTAACAGTTGAAGGAAACTGAAATTCTGTAGGCAAAACTTTCATTACTGTTTTGGGGACGGTAGTGATGATAATTATTGAATTAAAAACTTTATGCTGTAACAATGGATTATTATTTCCCAAACCGAACCACCTGTTGCTTCCAGCAGCTGATTTTATTTATCATTGTAGGACGGTGTATGTACCATTCTCTTACATCACTAAACAATTCAGTTCCTCAAATGAGAAGAAAAAGATACTGATGCTTGTACAGAGTCCATTATCAACGGTTCTGCTCGCATGAAGTCTTCACCAGAACAACAAGCAACACAAAGCCAGCAGCACTTGTAATCAGAGCACAATAAGTACATACCGGTAATCTAAACTGTTTTATGGAGGAAAAGTTGACTTGGTGTCTTTAAAATCACACCAATCAACCACAATGTTGTCCAAAGAATTCATGATACTGCGGCATGAAAGACAGTGTATACATGCCTATATTAAACAGTGACAAGCTATTGAAAATTAAACAAGTAAAACAACAAAAGCAGCTATCCCATGTCAACATGCTATTGTTAAAGTGTAGTCAAAGCACAAAAATATACATTCATTCTGGGTGATTAAAAAATTATGCTGCATGATGAGATGAAGTTCAGTCACATTCACTGAAAATACAAACTTTTAAACTATGTCAATAACATTTGAATATTCAAAAAAAGTATTAAACACTAAAAAGAGTCTGTCTCTAAATTTGATGTTGAGATCTGAGGATGAACATTGAATAATGGGAAAAATATTAAACTACTAAGAGTTTTCTGGACATTGATTATATACTGTCAACTGATGCTCTGGACTAGTCTTCAGTGTTAACAGAAGTTATTGCTAACTTGTGTCTTCATTGTGGTAAAGGGAGATAATTCAAACAAGACAAGGAGAGTGTAATACAGCATAAATTGAGAATAATTGAGAAAAGACAATGATTATCAGCTCTTACTCATTTCATAATATTGATTTACTTTCAATATTACTCTAATCCGATCACTTTATTTTCAGATTATGAAAATAAACTATCTACTATTTAACAGCTGTACATGAGGTTTATTCCAAATGTACCTTCAAGCAACAATGACAGAGTATAAAACACATTTTCTCCAACTTTTGATAAAGATCACAACAAATGTTTGTGTATTAAGTGCCAAGACAATCACAGGTCTGTCCACAACTGTCACTCGGAAAAGAGTTCTCTCCCCTAGCCATGTCCCATCATGCTTAGCGCCACTGTTGGGCAGGTGGTGGGTAGCCCTGTTGCGGGTATCCCTGCTGGGGGTATCCAGGGTACTGGCCTTGGGGAGGCTGTGCCCCATACCCAGCAGGTGGCTGCTGCCCAGGGTACTGAGGGGCTTGGGGGTATCCCTGTCCATAGGTTGGCTGTTGAGGGTAGCCCATGTATGGGTTGTATGGGTTGTAGGAACCAGGCATGGCGATTGGAGGCTGGTATTGAGGGTAGGGGGCCTGCCAGCCCTGGGGTTGTCCTGCTTGGGGAGGAGGGGCTCCACCGTACCCTGCTGTAAATGTATGCACAAATGTTAGACTGGAATCAACAAACAGTGGTAGTCATGGTGGTGTTGAACTTAATACAATCAATAAACTTTATGAACAGTTAATATCTTTTATTTCATTGCTGAGTCTGACAGAAGTTCTTCTCATGGCCAGACCCAGATTTGCAAGTTCAAAGATTATCATGGTTTTGTTGTACAGGCTGAAAAGGCTAACCATATCTTAGAAGTTACGAGAATAAATAATGTGCATTTGGGAAGATGCTTGTTTATTGCCCTCCCCCACCAGATCAAGTCTCAATTAGATATTTTCCGGTTCCTTGAACCAAAAACATTACTCTGTCATTTTTGTATTTGAAAACAAAGTCAAAACCAGAACAAAGCCATGCTTGATTATCTGGGCTGAGATTTTCAAAGCTGTCTTAGAGCTAAGATTGTCGTAAGTTAATGTTAATGTATGACACTTATGACTATCTTAACACTAGGAGAGCTTTGAAAATTTTGGTCCAGGGCCTAGATATTCGAAGCTCTCTTAGCGCTAAGATAGTTGTAAGTTAATGTTAATGTATGGCACTTACGACTATCTTAGCACTAAGAGAGCTTCGAAAATCTAGGCCCTGGACTGTTGTGTATCATTTCTATCATGATAAACATCGTTTTACCACAACAATCCTCTCTTCTCACTAAAGTAGAACAGAGCTTCTCTTGCTCAGCAACGAATCAAGAGGTGTCATCTGATAGTGAGCTTTGCACTGATCTGACAAACCCTTGAGTATGTAAATAAATCACAAGACTGCTTTAAAGGATGTCTTAGTTGGAACACAGTCTTCCTGAGTCGTAAGGTAAATGAAGTCCCTTATTTGTAACAAGATTGGCACTGCTGATGTTACTGCAAGTTCACTCATCAAAGAACATTGCATTTTGAAAGGACTAACAACGAAGTTCAGGGTCAAAAGGGTCAAGCATAGAGATCATAAAAGCACATGAAACACTGAATAATCATGGATAGTTTACACAATCACACTGATGTTTAACCTGTATAAGATACCTGATTTACCACAAAACTGCATCTTGTACATATTGAATACATCAGGCTTACCCCCTGAGTTTAAAATTTAAATGACAACAAACATACTGGTTAGTAATAACAGGCTGTAAGGGTTGTTACTGAACAGCTAGGTCCACAGGTAGCATGCAGGCAAGACAACAGTAAGAAGCCAGTGGGTAAGTTATTTCTACACAGTGAGAGGAGGTAATATTAGATGAAAACCAGTGACATGTCAGTTGTCATGTTGGAGGGACCATATAGGCAGGACATGCAGAAGGAACCATCACCACCTTTGCAGTAATTCATTAATGCACAAGCATGATATGATTGAAGATACTTCCAGACATGCATAACAAAGAAAACATGACATCATGCCGAAAATACTCTGGTACACCCTGAAACCCTTAAACCGAACATGGAGAAATTGGAGTTGGTGCACATTGGAACGAAGCGTAATCCTAAATGCAAAACACACCCATTCCTCTACGACAGTAATCAGTGGTGAAAATCAAGCATGGACATGAAGGTGTGCATGTCTTGACCCTCCTGTTTTAAGAGCTGGGGAGCACTAGATTCAAATGCTACAGCACCAAACACCAAAGGCCATGAATTTCAACATAGCAAACCATGCAACTGACATAACAACACTCTGACAATGCAATGTACTGGTATGTGAAACAACAAAAGAACCATCTCCTCAAGGATGCACAAATGACTCGGACACACATCGACTAAATAGCATGGTTCACTGGACGTGGATTACAGGAAGTGTAACACTGCAACAAGAGATTAGTACCACTACCACAGCAAGCAAGGTGATGACCGTGGCTTTCCATACAAGATCCTGAATCCAGGAACCTGTTGGCCAGTCTTGTCTGTTAATGTGCACAATGTCATGAAAAACTGCCATGATCAATCAGATTTCAATGCCTTGGGTGTGTTTCACAAAGTAATCTCTGTTCCACAGCTATCATAGTTTCATAGACCAAACAGACAAGATCAGTTGACGCAATTAGACTGCGTTGTGGAACATGGCCCTAGTCATGTGATATTGCAGACACCAACAGGCTTGAAAAGCTGGATCTAGGTGTTGAGACAGAACCCACATGCTATGACATGGTCCATCAAGCTAAAGGCTGGTCATGGGTTAATGTCATGCCAAGACACACACACTTGTACAGACTGACCCGGTCGACATTAGAAGCAACCACATGCTATGTCAGGGCCACCTACCATAGTTCTGGGTTGGGGGCTGCTGGTAACCTTGGGCGGGGTAGGGGGTCTGATGTGGGGCGGTGCCAGGAGGGGCACCTGCTGGAGGAGGTGCTGACCCTGGAAAGTTTGGATCAGACACATGTAATTAAATATAATCAAGAAGAAGCTCATTTAGTAGTACGATGCCATGCAGAATATGTGGCAAAATGAGGCAGTATTGTAATCTGTAGCTCATAAACCCTTAGAGAATCTACAATTGACTGTAAGACTTCATACCAAGGTTAAATATCTCACAAACAAGACAAATGTGGGAAGAAAGAATTGAAGAGCAAGAACTGACAAGCTGGTGCCACAAAACATCAAATCCTGAATTTGTGTTTCAGAGAAATACAGAGCAGTTTTAACTATGTCAAGTTTACATCTTGCTTAAACAACCATGCACGGAAATGTAAAGAATTGTTCAATACAGGATCAGATATTAACTATGTATGGGCAAGGCATGTAAATATTAGGCATGTAAAATTACCAAGCTCCTTCCCAGCTGCTTTATCTGACCAGTGTCATTGCTGCCATTACAATGATCTAGAAATTTACCCTTGAAATGTAGAGACATCAAACTTTTGTGGGAATGCCATAATAGTTAACTTAGAAAATGTATATGACTGACTCAATATTTCCTTGATGAATTTACTTTCTGTCTTATCAAATTGCTTGGAGTTTGCTGACTAATGAATAATCACCTAACTTCCCTGTTACATTACAGTTGAAATAAAAAAGAAATGAAAACCGACGAACAAAGAAATTATTTAGCTGAAGGAAGCGTAATCAGCATCATGAAAGTCACTACTTGTATGTAAACACCATAGTCAGTGAGTTGCAATGGCTGGAGTCCACTCTGTGCATGGGTGAAGTCTGCCTAGCACAGCTGGGAGCTGTGACTAGTGGCAGGGAATTGTATAATGTGTCTTCAAAGAGGCTGTAGCTGTGAGGAGCTTGTAAAATTACAGTAAAAGGGGGACTTGAAGGAGAACACTTGCTAAAACAGCAATGTGTAACTCTCCATACATTAACCCTACTGTAGATTTCAAATAATGCACAAAATTGTTTTGCCCCAAATCCTTATCCTTTCTAGCCACATATTCCAGGAAGCGATAAGCTGCACCTGCTCCAGATGACAAACAGGCATATATGTCAGCTTATTTTAAGTAGCGAGTCATGTAAACACCTTTCCACAACATATAGATATAAGTAAGGAAGCTAAAACCCTCTAACCCACCAAACACAGGATATTCACACCAAGGACCATTTAGTACATTTGACAAAGTACAAAAACAGAATTATAACAAATTAAGCATGAAATAGAAAGAAAAATCTACTGGGGTAATGAAACGAAGAGGTTCGTACCCGCTGCAGCGGCGGGACCAGGAGGAGCTGTTGGCACGCCAGACTGCCCTATCCCCGATGTTGTCGGAGGAGGGGGGCGGGGTGGGGCGACACGGTTAGCCCCTGAACTGCTGGAAGCAGGAGCTAACAACAAAAGCAACACTAAATCACACACAGAAAAATCACAACAAAAGGTAACTGAAGAAGGAGAGAGTGTTATCAGGAGACAAAGGAACACATCTTCTGCTTCATTCCTGTCTGTCTGTCTTCACATGAATCACCTGGATATTTCAAACTGTTTTTAAAGTGAGTTAACATTTTACATCGCACTGGCAATATTACAGCCATATAGCGATGGAAACAAGTTAATCAATTTAAAACATCTGTCAACAAAGGACAGTAAAACAAACTAGACTATCACAGAAATATATTAAAATCTAGTAATTAAATCTAAAATGCTTAACTACAGAGGATGATACAATATAAACAAGAAGACAAAGTCATCAATATCCCCCGCAATGGCAAAATACTCTTCATGATTATGTCTACGAGTTATGATTATGTCATATACTTAGGTGTGTATATAGAAAAGTGGAAGGAGAGTATTGAAAGGTTTTGAAAGTTCTGCTCCAATTTCAGTCTATGTCAAACTTGTTGCCATGGAAATGCCAAAAATATTTTATTCAGAAATCCAAAACTACCAAAAGGCACCAGTACACCACCAGATCTATGTATGTGCCAAGTTTGGTGAAGAAACATTGAACGGTTTTAGAGTTCTGCTCCGGAAAAGTGCACTACCACTAATTTCTGTTTTAGTCAAACTTGTTGCCATGGAAATGCCAAAAATATTTTATTCAGAATTCCAAAACTACCAAAAAGGAACCAGTACGCCACCAGACCAATCTATGTGCCAAGTTTGGTGAAGAAATTGTGAACGGTTTTAGAGTTCAGCTCCGGAAAAGACAAATGTGCACGGATGGACAGACGGAGTCCATTTTAATACCCCCCGCAAAACGCGTTGCGGGGGATAAAAATGTTTCCATGGAAACCGAGAAAAATTAAAATGACAAAAATCTGTAAATATCAGAAGGCACAACCTTAGGTTCTGTTTGATATATCTGCCAAGTTTTGTTGAAAAATATTGAATGGTTTTTGAGTTATGCTCCGGAAACAAAAAATGAATACGGACGGACGAAAGAGGCGACGACTATATCCCCCTGCATTACATGCCGGAGGGATAAAAATGTAACCAAAGTACTATTGCAACCTATCTTAAGGTAATGAAGCTTCGATCACATTCGCACTGTGACTGCTTTGTACAACAGTCCTCGTAAACAAGAGTTCTTTTATTTGATGTTGTAGTCAACAAGCAAGCTAATGTATGGATGTCAGTGTTAACAGAAAAGGTACAAGATCAAAGAAAACAACACACACTAACATAGAAATGGAATTTGAGGACACTATCCAGAGCTGATACATATATCCTCGCGTTACGGGTTTTGGACACTAAGGCACCTCCATTGTCCTGATTATTGCTTGAACAATTGGAAAACATGTAAATGGAATTTTAATGTTCAGTTCTAAAATGTGTCAGATCACTGGATACTGCTTCAGGCCATGATACTGAAGGACATATTTAGGGGAGACAACACCTGGTGAACCTACCTGCAGGGGGCGCTGACTGACCAGGCCCTCCCTGGTATGTGGGGGTGGGCGGGGCAGGTTGGGACTTGGTGTTGGCGATCTGCTTCTGGACATCTTGCATCAACTCTTCCTTCTCTGTCTTCCTGGCGAAGCAGAAGTCCATCACTCTGGACTGTAACTTGACTAGCAGTGGAGTCAGGTCATTGTAGAACTGGAACAACAAACAGGATTAGAACATCTCTCAGTCGGCCTTACTTCCTCTGGGATTATGGGACCTTCAACTCAACTCAGGGACTTATATATAGTCTCAGTCATAGCAAACCGCACACTTTCCCTGCTCAGGGTCCTATGGATACCGCTTGAATCCATGACACCCAAATCTAAACCAGCATAGTCTTCCTCCACTTTGTACCGCTTGGATCCGAGACATCCAAGTCTAACCATCACACTCTTCCTCCACTTAATACCCACTGGATCCATGATACATAACTCTTAACAACCTCATTCCTCCTCTGCTCAGTGCCCCATGGATACATGACTGCCCATTTTAAACCACCACACTCTTCCTCTGCTCAGTGCCCCATGGATACATGACTGGCCACTTTACACCACCACACTCTTCCTCTGCTCAGTGCCCCATGGATACATGACTGGCCACTTTAAACAACCACACTCTTCCTCTGCTCAGTGCCCCATGGATACATGACTGGCCACTTTAAACAACCACACTACATGACTGGCCACTTTAAACCTCACACTCTTCCTCCTCAGTGCCCCATGGATACATGACTGGCCACTTTAAACCACCACACTCTTCCTCTGCTCAGTGCCCCATGGATACATGACTGGCCACTTTAAACCACCACACTCCTCTGCTCAGTGCCCCATGGATACATGACTGGCCACTTTAAACCACCACACACTCCTCCTCTGCTCAGTGCCCCATGGATACATGACTGGCCACTTTAAACCACCACACTCTTCCTCTGCTCAGTGCCCCATGGATACATGACTGGCCACTTTAAACAAGCACACTCTTCCTCTGCTCAGTGCCCCATGGATACATGACTGCCCACTTTAAACCAGACACACTCTTCTTCCTCTGCTCAGTGCCCCATGGATACATGACTGGCCACTTTTAAACCACCACCACTCTCTTCCCTCTGCTCAGTGCCCCATGGATACATGACTGGCCACTTTAAACCACCACACACACTCCTCTGCTCAGTGCCCCATGGATACATGACTGGCCACTTTAAACCAGCACACTCTTCCTCTGCTCAGTGCCCCATGGATACATGACTGGCCACTTTAAACCAGCACACTCTTCCTCTGCTCAGTGCCCCATGGATACATGACTGGCCACTTTAAACCAGCACACTCTTCCTCTGCTCAGTGCCCCATGGATACATGACTGGCCACTTTAAACCAGCACACACTCTTCCTCTGCTCAGTGCCCCATGGATACATGACTGGCCACTTTAAACCACCACACTCTTCCTCTGCTCAGTGCCCCATGGATACATGACTGGCCACTTTAAACCACCACACTCCTCTCCTCTGCTCAGTGCCCCATGGATACATGACTGGCCACTGGCCACTTTAAACCACACTGTTCCTCTGCTCAGTGCCCCATGGATACATGACTGGCCACTTTAAACCAGCACACTCTTCCTCTGCTCAGTGCCCCATGGATACATGACTGCCCACTTTAAACCACCACACTCTTCCTCTGCTCAGTGCCCCATGGATACATGACTGGCCACTTTAAACCAGTACACTCCTCCTCTGCTCAGTGCCCCATGGATACATGACTGGCCACTTTAAACAAGCACACTGTTCCTCTGCTCAGTGCCCCATGGATACATGACTGGCCACTTTAAACCACCACACTCTTCCTCTGCTCAGTGCCCCATGGATACATGACTGGCCACTTTAAACCACCACACTCCTCCTCTGCTCAGTGCCCCATGGATACATGACTGGCCACTTTAAACCACCACACTCTTCCTCTGCTCAGTGCCCCATGGATACATGACTGGCCACTTTAAACCACCACACTCTTCCTCTGCTCAGTGCCCCATGGATACATGACTGGCCACTTTAAACCAGTACACTCTTCCTCTGCTCAGTGCCCCATGGATACATGACTGGCCACTTTAAACAACCACACTCTGACTCCTCTAAACCACCACACTCCTCTGCCTCAGTGCCCCATGGATACATGACTGGCCACTTTAAACCACCACACTCTTCCTCTGCTCAGTGCCCCATGGATACAAGACTGCCCACTTTACACCACCACACTCTTCCTCTGCTCAGTGCCCCATCGATACATGACTGCCCACTTTACACCAGCACACTCTTCCTCTGCTCAGTGCCCCATAGATACATGACTGGCCACTTTAAACCACAACATGCTTCCTCTGCTCAGTGCCCCATAGATCCATGACACTCAAATCTAAACCAGCACACTATTCCTTCTCTAAGATACCCCAGGGATCCATGACAGACCATTTTAAACCAGCACACTCTTCCTCCCCATGCCACTATATGGACCCCAAACACCCAACCCAAACCAGCATAGAATATCACCTAACCCTGACCCAGCAATCCCACTGACTGAGTGCACCCTGCCGACACACCCACCTTGGTTCCCTCCTCCAGGTTACCCTTGAGTTCAGTGTATATGTTGTATGCAGCCTGGAGCTCCTTCAGTTTGGCTTCCCTGGCAGCAGCTGACTGGTTGGAGGACCGGGCATTGCTGAAGTCTGTGTTGGCGTTCTGGAAGTCAAACACAGGTTATGTCAAGACGATATACTGCTGACACAAGGCAGTCATTACCTTCTACACTATGTAATTGTGGACCGCAGTTGCAACATAATTTCTGTCTACGTCCTCGCTAGAATATAAAATACAGGGTACCTTCCTCATTGGAGTAATACTCAGTGCTGACCTAAAACATTATAAGAGGGCTATAAACTAGTTCTCAATGCTTCAATTGCTACAAACTGGTGAATAAAGCTGAAGAACAGTAACCAGTTTTGTGTCATTCAAGCATGGCTAACTACAGACACTGAAGACAACTGAAATTAGGTCTCCTCTAGACCCTTGTAGACTGACAAGTCAGTGTGAGGTCGGATGCTGCATTTCTACTGCTGTGGTACCTGTATCCTAGCCTGCAGGTTCTCCTGTCTGTGGATGCTGTCTGACACCTGTTCCCGCAGTGGGCCGTACACACGGTCAAGTTCCGCTACTGAGATATTCTCTTCATTCACCAGACCATCACTAGCCAGGGCCGACATGAAGGACGACACTATTGAAAAGACATCACACTACATGTACTATCCAAGGTAGATCATACAATCACATCCAATTAATGTCTTAATCACATTTCACTATCCACATGAGCTTCGAGGTATCCATTTTAAAACAGGTTTAACGTGAAACAACCACCTAACAGTCAGGGAACTTCATGTTTTGGAAGATTTACATCAAATTCTTGATAATTGTGTTAGCATCTATATAAAAAAATTAATTGTAATAAAGAAGTTTTCTCTCCCTAGTTCAGCTTGTTAAGGAGTCACGTTCAATGACTGTGTTTTAATTCAATCAGAGCATTTCACAGTTGTTTTTCAAACAATTTTTTATGAAACAAGTGAAAACTCATCCCAGTAAACAATCATGCATATTCATGGTAATCATTCATATAAGGCAAACTTTGCCTTAGAATTAGCAACACTGACAGAGTGAGTTTTCTTTAAAGTATTTCAGCTTTAGCACAGATAAAGTTCTGACAAACCAAGAATCAAACCCATGGCAAATCTCAAATATGAACAAATTTGAACATGCTATCATTAGATCCAGGCATAACCAAGGGAAGTAACAAAGTTTGGACGAATGAATCTGCAAGGGAGGAGTATACATAATGCAGTGTCACGATGGCTCCCATCCTCACCTATGTCAAAGCTGGCATCCTTGATGCTGCTTTCAATGGCTTCTCTCTCAGCTTTGATTGTCTCCACCTGCTGCATGAGTGACCGTAGCTCCTTCACCGGAGGGCTGGTTTGTAAGCCACTGCCACCACTGCCTGCTGGGAGGGAGGCCTCAAGCTCTGCCTGCATCATCATCATCATCATCATCATCATCATCATCATCATCCAGTCAGTTATTGCAAGAAATATCTGTTTTTTATGTTCCTTTGACACTGGTTTGTTTAGTTTGTTGTTTAGCGCCACAGACAGCAATATTCCAGCTATATGGCAGCCCTTGATACTGAATGACCAAGCAGCAATAATCCAGCTATATGGCGGCCCTTGATACTGAATGACCAAGCAGCAATATTTCAGCTACTTGATGGTGGTTTGTGAAAAATCAAGACCGGAAAAGTCAAGCAGGTGATTGACATCATGATCATCAATCAAAGTCATTGGGATATAATGACATGCATCAACCAAATCAGCAAGCCTGACCTCACGATCCCAATTAGTCTCTTACGACAAGCATGAATTGATGAAGACCAAGTTTAGACCCAATTGTTATTGGGAGTAAAATACTTTTTAATATTGGAAATTTTAAATATAAATGGTATATTTATATACTTATCCTATTTCACAGTATGCACTTCTCTCTCTTGATTCGACACTGAGTGGAACGATGTAAACTTTTTTCCCTTGGCCTCTCTTGTCCATCCGCCCATTATAAGACAGCTTCCTAGTTGTCATGCAAAATCATGCATGCACCACTAGCTACCCACATGACTATCTCCGAATCATCATTCTCATTCTTGGAGAAGTGGGGAGGATTGGCTGGAAACCGTCGCGTGAGATAGGACAAGTATATAAATTGGATATGTCTTGTCAGTGCGAACAGTAGAACTGTGTAGACTGGAAACAACCATAGATAGCGATGCACAAGGGAGGCCTGTTAAGACTAGTGCAACTCCTATGCTTGTGACGAGTTCCTCTGAACTCCTTGGCTTACTAAGCACAACGCCTCCCAGGGAGATGGGTGCTTCTGAGCGATGTGGTGTTCAGCCGCAACCTCCGAAGAAGGACGCAGCTGTCACTTCGCCACGATTTTCAAGGTACCCTCGTAAATTATAGTCATAGACAACAATCGGGCCAGCCCCTGATTCGAGAAGGCCCCCACAGACACCGACCAGGACAGGTGAAAGAGAAGCACAACTCGGAAAACTCTCAGTTTTAATGTTCAGTTCCAGTAAACATCAAATTGACCCTCACCCCTTTACATAAGCTTAGTCAAAGGATGAGCCTGGCAACCTCTCAGTCGGAACGCAATGAAATGCACTGAAATTCAGGAGTGACACACTTCACTAACGTAATTTCTTTCGAAAAGTAGAGGTCAGGAAACGTGAAATGTCGATTCCTTCCACATCTTGATACAGAATCGAGCTCCAGATTCGTCCAACCACCGAGGCGGTAGTATCTCCGTGTTTTAGTATAAAACTAAGTGAAGTAGTTCTAACCCATAAGCAATCAAAACATAAGGCAGACATCAAGTTCAGACTTATATTCAGGAAAATACAGGGAAGCAGCAACCGCGTGGGACCATTCCCTATCTGCGTTGGTGGGCTGTAGACAGCTGTTGTGCGAGAACAAGGGGTCCAAACTGGTACAGACCTTGGACATCCTTCACGAAGGTAGTGCGAGGTGAAGACCGAGTCCAGTCGCCAGAAGCATCCTTCCATAATGGCATGGAGAGAGCAGTTACTATGCAGAGCCATCGTAGATGCTAAAGCCCGTGTCTCATGTGGATTGGAAGCTGTCGGGGCCGGTAACCCAACGAAGGTGTAAGCCAGTAGGATGATGGCTCTCATCCAGAAGGATAATGTGGTGCGAGACACTTCTGCCCTGGATGTTGAGGACATCAGAATGAAGAGCCGCTTGCGGAGACGACGGCGATCTTTAGAAGCAGCAAAAAAATCTTCAAAGCCCTAACAGGGCAAAGCTGCAGGTCTTCATTATCATGCGGCCCTAGGATCGTGGACAATGGTGGGATGGTAAAAGTACAATCGGGTTGTCCCGGCAACTGATTCTTCACTACAAAATCCTTCTTCCGTTCGAACTTGACTCTGTTAACGTCCAAAGCGCGGAGTTCAGAAATTCGAGCAGCTGTAACCAAGGCCACAAGGAAAAAGGTCTTGAAGGAGATCTTCTCAAAGTCCTTCTGAGCTAAGGGTTCATAGTTTGCTAAGGCCAAATGACGCAGCACCACAGATAAATCCCATGCAGGAGGTCTAAACTTCTTAAACTGATCGGTCAACTTGAAAGACCGGAGCAAATACTGAAGCTCAGGATCCGTTGAAACCTTAGAGCCTGTGGTGGTAGCCAGGATCAAACAAATTCTGGCGCAAACGTTCTGTTGCACAAGCCACCACTGAAGAAAAGGACGTAAGGGTTTGGGAAGACGAATCAACTCAAGATTCTCTGAGACGAGATACGGATGCAGGAAACGCTGCAATGGACGCAGTTGCAATTGTCCCCGACCGTGTCAATGCCTGTGCCGATGTCAAGAGGCCCAAAACTTCCTGCCACTGTCGTAAGGTCCTGGCCTGTGACAGTGCTAACGGAACTAGCAGTTGAATTTTCAGCCATCTGTCTTGATGGACGAAAATCAGGCCCTGGTGCATGTCGACAGTTGCCCCGATGAATTGAAGGGTCTGGGTCGGTGTTAGTTCCGACTTCGCAGCGTTTAACAACCAACCTAGTTGCCGGAGAAGCTTCGTACTGAACTCCAACTGACGTAGAAGAACGACAGGGTCTCTCTGTGCCTGAATGCAGTCGTCTATGTAACTTTCGAACAAGACCCCGTGGAGATGAAGAAACCTGGTGACCAGCTTGGTGATCCTGGTAAATAGGCCTTGGAAATTCCAAAAGGCAGGATGGTCCATTGATAATGGAACCCTTGGAATACGAATCGGAGGAATTTCCGTGAATACTGATGAATGGGCACAAGAAGGTAAGCATCTTGAAGGTCTAGGCTGACAAGAAAATCCCCTTTCTTCACGATAGTGCGAAGAAGGACGATCGATACCATCTGGAAGTGAGGTGGGTGCTGGAGATAGTGGACATTGAAAAGTTTCATGTTGAAAATGAGTCTTAGTTTTGTGGAGTTCTTCTTGGGAACCAGAAAGATGGTGGAATAGAATCCTGGAGTGCTGGGCGCCGGACCGAGAGAATGGACTGCACATTTCTCTATGAGCGTACCTATGGTGGAGTGAAGAACCTGGACCTGGTCCGCTGGGTAGCTGCGTTGTACCGGATTCATTGTCAGCGGCGGGCGTCCCATAACTGGAAGTTGATAGCCATTGGCGAGGTCGGTCATGAAAGGATCGTCTAGTATGGTCCAGTTGGGAGCGAAACTCCCTAGTCTCCCGCCCACTGGAGAGTTGTAAATGGGGACGGCTGGAGGCGTCGGACTTGGGAAGACATTGGGAAGAAGTGCCACGGGAGGACCTGCTACCTCTAGCTCGGGATGAATGGCCAAGAAAACCCTGACGCAGTTCCGGGGATGAGACGGCACGAACCGTGGAGGCCTTCTCTGTATCATGGAAACTTGCAGATGAGATTTCTGGAGTTTCAATAATTCCACAGAAACTTGAAATTAAGTCCCGATCCAACTTCGCTGAAACTTCCCCAATCATGCCATTAAACAAGGATTCTGCAGACCACAGTTGACGGAAGAGTTCAGCCTTAAACCTGTGATCCCATGAAGACAAATTGAGCGGGCTGCGACGTCGAACTGCCAGGAGATAACCAAGGAAATGAGACAGCTGGTCAAGTACGATCTGAAATTGGTCCAGTATAAGGGACATACAGCCCCTGATGTAAGCATCCTGATCGGAGAAAGAGTGCTCCACTGATGCCGCAACCGCGTCCACCGCTGAGATGATGCAATTGATCGAGGGTAAGGAGCGACGAATAGCTGTGTCCATGTGAGACAGTTCTCTGTCCTCAACTAGAAAGGCTGAACTGATCCACTGAAGGGGCAGTAGCCAATGACTGGAAACCATAGGAGAGAGCCGCCGGTAGGGAAAATCTAGGCGAAGACAGGCCATCCTTAATCCTTTTAAGGCTTTTAAAGGCATGATCCAAGGACGTAGTTAGATGAGCAATACAAGGCCATGGTGGGAAGGTAATAGATGTCAAGTCTCGTTGTCTCATGGAGAAGGAAGGTTAAATCCTCCGTGTTCTGTGACATAGGGAGGTGGAGTTTCTCCACTATCCAAGCTAAAACTTCATCGACAAAGTCCAAACTTCCCTCTGGGGAATCCACAACCGAGCACAAGTAAGAGCACTTAACATCGCAGCCAGATCTGAGGGAGGAGTAGTTTCCTGCGCAGGAGTCCAGGAATCTGGTACAATCCGAGTAGAGAGACGCGAGGAGGCAGGAGTCCCGTCAGAGGTCGTAGCACGCTGAGATTGAAGCTTGGAACCCCGTTGATTAGATCGACGATCAGTAGAACCATATCTATGTCTGGAGGGGGACGAACCGGGAGAGGATGCACAAATGGAGACCTGCTGAGGAGAACGAGAAGGGGAGATATCGCAACGATAACGACGATCCCTGGATCTTGAACGATAGGCAGCAGTCAACCGTGTAGGAGATCTAGGTTGACGGGTCAGGTGCGAAGAACCGGAAGTCCCATGATGACGAGAAGACAAAGTCTGAGGAGGTGACTTGGAACGAAGAACCGATCTCAATGAAGCAGGAGGAGGCATGTGCTTAGTTGAATACGAACGAGTCAAAGAGTGGCATCTCGGCAGTGAAGTAAACCTACCAGGTCTATACGGTGAACAAATCCGAATAATAATATGAGACTGATCCAGACTACTCGGTGAAAGACGTGTTCGTACTGAGGTAAGATCCAACAGTGTTCGGGGAAGTACTCAGATGATCTAGAGAGAGGCATTCGGCTCAATACCGCTTGGAAGAAGGCTGTTTTGGCGAAAGACAGTTCACCACATGCCGTCTCGGTGAAGTCTTCCGTTTTGGCGAGACGTTGTTTCTACGAAGTACGATTAGGTGAAGGCTGTTTAGCAGATGATCCATCTGGAGAATGCTGAAGCTTAGACTGGTATTTCGATGAAGACCGGTTCGGCGAAAGCTGTTTTGTAGAGAGCCGGTCTAATTTTGAGGAAGGGGGGCAGTCCGGCGAAAGTCAATGTGGAGGGGAGCGGACAGGTGGAGCATGAACCGGCGAACTGTGATTCGATCTGACAGGCTTCGGCGAAGCAGAAGACCGAGGTAGCTGGACGCAGGAATGGGAAGGAGATGGTAAAGTAACCACTGACAGGCATTAAGGCGAGGTAGACTGGTTCCTCTCACTACTGGATGAATGACAAGAGCGAGAACAGCCTCTGCGCAGTCAGGCGTAGAGGTCAGCTCATTCTTGTCTGAAACAGATAAGCCAGGTTGCTGTGACAACTGGTCCGGAGAACGAGAGACAGAGCGTAGTTCGAAGGTCCCGCTGTGTAGACGTATCCTGAGGGGTGGTGGCAGTCTCGACAACCACTACCCGGGACGTGGTCGAAGACGAAGGACTCGGGCTGGAATGTTGAGAGCCGAACAAATTCCAAAAGTCTTCGGATAAGTAAGAATCTGACGACGCTCTCACGAATCCTCTTCATTCGAGAGAGGGGACTGTAACCGCCAAGCAGACAAAGTAGGACGCTTTAACCTTCCTTTCTTGAAGGGTTTGGGTCCGTCAAGTTAAGCAGCATAACGAGCTCTGTCAGCAACACGACGGGCACAAGCCTGAGTGTAGTCACCAAACGCATCAAAGGTAAGATCCTTGCATTTATCGCAACGAGAGTCCCATTTACACTGTCCCATACAGTCAATACAATACGCATGTGGATGACTCGCGGAGAACACTTTATTACACGGGAGCACTTTTTCCTCTTTTTTGGCTGGTCAGCTTTCAGACTAAGTTGAAAACGTTGAGCAAAGTAAAATACGTTCACACTCTAGTGTGACAAGAAAGAGAATGATGATTCGGAGATAGTCACGTGGGTAGCTAGTGGTGCATGCCGCATGCTTTGCATGACAACTAGGAAGCTGTCTTATAATGAGGGTAGCATGGAGTGGATGATCAAGAGAGGCCAAGGGAAAAATGTTTACATCGTTCCACTCGGTGTCGAATCAAGAGAGAGAAGTGCATACCGTGAGATAGGATAAGTTTAAAAATTAAAGACTTACTCTACCAAAGAGAAGAGATGAACGTGTTCGGCAAATGACCCTGCTTAGCTAGGAACATAACCATATCCCTGTAAATACCATCAGTGTCCTCAATAAAACCACTGCAGGGCCACTGTCCTATTGTAAATTGTTCCTTTCAAAAATTGAATAGACACGTTTATCTGTAGCCACAGGGACAAAACCCTAGTGTTATCATAAGGAATGTAGACTAGTCTCTTACCAGAGGCTTGGAGAGCAACAAGATGCCTTCCTTGTGTTTGTCAAACTTGTCCCGGACAACAGCATCTGCCTGGGTGGCTGTGGACAGTATAGTGCTGTACTTTGTGGCCTCTTCTCGCATAGGTTTTGTCAGTTGGGCTGAGTTTGTTCGAGTCCACTTCTCTTTGAACTGTTCTCGAAGCTGAGTGTCAGACTTTTCCTCACTGTCCAACTCAGCTATAGTCTGAAAACACAAAATAATTTGTGAGCGAGTTTGGTTATTGATGATTTAAGAATCTGAACTGATGAGCACAGGCAGACCAAAGGGAGGCAACTCTGTAGAGTGAACTACTGTGTCCAAGTTGACAGGGCCACCCATGTCCCCACTTGTCATCAGTAAAAGTGTTACGCTCATTATTGTGAAATGTCTTGCTGAAGTCTGAACATGAACTTGGTGTATGTCCGTCAAAGTATTTATCAACATTAATATGGCCATTTTCAAAATAGATTTAATAATTTTGTAACAGTTACTGAGATTCAGCCAATTTGGAAATTCTGAGACAAATAGAAACAAAATATGTTTGGGCAATATGACCATATGACATACAATATAAATCTATCCAAAAGAGACATCCCAGGTGCGCTATTCAAATTAATACGAGAGGTCTCTACTGCACAGTTAGACCATCTCAAGTTTCCAAACACAGAAAGTTGATCTCATAAATGACAGCCCATGTGCTCAGTTCTGAACGAAAAGAAGAGGTATCTAAACCACAGCTTGACTCAAATTTCCAAACACAGAAGACTTATCTCCTAACTGACAGCCCATGTTGTGAGCACCACTACTCACAGCGTCAAGGATCTCCCTATTACGGGTAAGAAGGGCTGGCAGCTCATTCATGAGCTTGGAGATGTATGAAGCACCACCCTGGTCCTGCATCTGTTGGGCTTTCTCTGTTAGGGACTGAGGGACTTTCTCACCAGCCAGGTCCTCGATGGATGCAGGCAGGTTGAGGGATGTCAGCACACTGAAACAGTTCATCTGTTGTATCAACTATATGAAGAGTGAGTGAGTGAGTTTAGTTTTAAGCCGCACTCAGCAATATTCCAGCTATATGGCGGCAGTCTGTAAATAATCGGTCTGGACCAGACAATCCAGTGATCAACACCATGAACATTGATCTGCGAAATTGGGAACCGATGACATGTGTCAACCAAGTCAGCGAGCCTGACCACCCGATCCCGTTAGTCGCCTCTTTACGACAAGCATAGTCGACTTTTGGGGCAAGCATGGGTTGCTGAAGACCTATTCTACCCCGGATCTTCACGGGTCAACCATATCAAGAAGTAAAGCTGAGTAATACACCAAGAGATGAACTGGTATGAGTGACTTCATCTTGATGAGGCAAGGGAGCTAACTGACTGGAAAAGTCCAGCTCCACCCTTGCCAAGCCAGGTAAGGAATTATGGAGTTATATTTTGGCTGGACGAATGAGTCTATGCATAGTACAAATGAAATTGTGTAATTAAATCAACATTTGGTTCATGAACAAAATGTCGATTGTTTTGGTCGATAGCAAGATTTTCAGAGCATGCAATGTCAAGCGGGAATCTGTTCATGTTTCAATCAAGATGCTCAAGGGAGACACGTAGTGGCCTAAGACCTGTTAAACATTTGATTACAGATCAGATAATCTTCAAATGACGCTGCCTTTTTGCTTGTGGCAAATGCAAGTAATCTGAGAGGTGGAATATGTTTAGTCAGTTCGATCGACAGAGAAGGGACATAACTTGTAAAAGCCACTGGTGGCACTATGATTGAGCCATGAAATTTCAACCCAGTTTGGCAAGGGGAGAAACTGGGCCTTTATAGTCCGTGAACACTCTTGTTTGGAAAAGATGTTGACTTCAGTGAAACCAACATGTGAGCAGATGAAATTGACAAAACTAAATTACAAAGTGAGCAGATTAAAATCCAAAAGTTTCTGGCATATATAAGACCAAACTTAGACTTAAATGAAACTGTCATGAATGATAAATCATTTCAAAGAGATTCACAGGTGATTATATTTACATCTTGTGTCATTCGTAAAATGAGTACATCATAAGGTATCATACAAGTGAAACATACCCATTCATGAGATTTGTAGCTTCTCGCAACCTCCCGATCTCCATGTTGACAATCTGGGCCTTTCTGTTCTCAAATGCTGTCATGGCATCATGTACAGCTAAAGGCACTAATTTCTCAAAGAGGTCTGCAAAATAACATAATACAACATAACTCATAAATACTTACATACACACAAACATAGAAGGGCTGTCCTCAGCGGCATTTATGACTCAAGGAATTAACTTCTAAGAAAAAACATTTTAACAACCATAACATACAATCAATTTATGATAATTCTGTCGGACTGGACAATCTTGTCATTGAAATTGTAAGCCATGAACCCTCTATCTGGCTATCTAACACACAATCTACACAGTCTGGCCTTCCCATGCATTTGATCCTCTTACAACAAGCACAAGTTTCTGGGGACAGTTCTAATGTAGAATCCCAACAGGAACATGATATAATGTGTCAGAACAGAACTGTTCTAATTGGACGGCAAGAGCAAGGTTAACAGTTTTGAAAACCTAGATAAACTGTCTGAATAACTCATTTGTAAACACAGCACTACACACACTGTCATAAACTATGTAATTAAACTACCTGTGAAGTTGGTGGAGAATCTCTGTGCAACAGGTGAGGGTTTGGCCACAGCAGCCTTGCCAATGATAGGGAGAGTCTTCACGTCGGGCACTTTGTCGTGGTAGATGAAGTTGTTGTCCTTCACAGCCTCCTCCATTTCTCGCTGCACCTTCCCCTGCTCATTTCTGAAGCAGAATGTCTGGCCGCCGCGAGTCTGAGCAGCATTCAACAGCTCCTGGGCATGCTGTAATGGAAGAAAGAACCATCAGAGTGTACTGGAGAATCAGATGAAGATTAGGGTGAGGATGAGAAGGAAGATGATGAAGGAAAGGGTGAGGATGAAGAAAAGGGTGAAGATGAGGATGTAGATGATGAAGATAAGGGTGAGGATGAAGATGAAGATGAGGATGAGAATGATGATGAAAAATGATAATGATGGTGTAAGGGTGAGGATGAGGATGATGAAGATAAAGGTGAGGTTGAGGATGAAGATAAAGTTGAGGTTGAGGATGAACATAAGGGTGAGGATGAAGATGAGGATGAGAATAATGAGGACGAGCTGAAAAATGATGATGGTGGTGTAAGGGTGAGGATGATGATGAAGAAGATAAAGGTGAGGTTGAGGATGAAGATGATCATAAGGGTGAGGATGAGGATGAGGGTGAGGGTGATAATGAAGATGAAGAGGAGGGTGAGGATAAAGATAAAGATGAAACTGCGTCGACAGATTCCTTATTATCTTAATGTGTCATTTCAGAACAGGATGTACTGCCATTAACCAGCAATGCTACTATTGTTATTGTTACTGCAGCCTATAAACTACCACTGGAAGATACCAAGACAATGAGTATAGAAACCATGCTAGTGTGTTGTTTTCACTGCAGTTTTACGAGTCAGGAAACTGCATCAGTTATTTTTGTCTTGATTTAACAAACCTAACAATAAGAAACATACTTTCTAAAGTTTAATTGACGTTCCTTTTTTATGAGCATTGATTAGTATTCCAAGGCCATCAATAATTGCTGACAAAAGTAAGATTGATATACTGACCAATTACTTGATTATTTGCTCCAGCACTCATTAATATGGATGTTTTGCAAGTGTTCAAAATGAATGTGGGTCAGGGAATTCTAGAGATCTTATGCTATTGTGCTTATATTTAGGGATCCCAAATTGTTTAACTTTTAATATTGGAGTTCTGGCAAGCACCCTTTGACTCTCATGCTTCATATCCACCACTGGAACACACTCTGGCTGTCAGACATTCAGTGTCATTATTTCCATGACTAGAAAACTCTGGCTTACAGACAATTGGTGTCAACAAGGGAAAGGTGACTGGTCATCAACTAAAAAGATTTGAGAAGAATGAAATGCACATACCTTTAGCCTGGCAATTTGTTCTCCATAACTCTTGTTTGCTTTGGCCACATTGCTCTGGTAGAACTCTGCCATGCCATGGAAGGCTGCCTGCTTCATCACTACACACTGGATCCACTCCTAAATACAAATGTTAACTCAGTACTAATTCATGCATGTGTTTTGTGATGCATGGTTATCAACATTGATAGATATGTCATGCCTGAATATTGTTCACAATACACGATGTAGTTACACTAAACAGTTTGACTGCAACATCCAATAGGTAAAACAGAATGCCTCCAACCTATTTCTGAAATGTTTTGTGGAGTGACATTGCACGTACTAATATACAATCTTACACGAGTTTTGGTAAAATCAGAATGACACACATCCGGTTGTAATTACTACTTTATTATCTATCACTTCTTAATCTTTCTGCATTCTCATTTAGCAAAATTCACTGACCATTTTCTAAATGGCATTGTGTACTCAAAGAGAGGTCAGTTTGACAACTGCAAAAGCCAGGGAAGTCTGACAATAACTGTCTAAGGGAGGTCAGTCTGACAACAACTGCAAAAGGCAGGTGAGTGAGAATAACTGTCTGAGGGGGGTAAGTCTGACAATAACTGCAATAGGCAGGTGAGTGACAATAACTGTCTAAGGGAGGTATGTCTGACAAGAACTGCAAAAGGCAGGTGAGTGACAATAACTGTCTAAGGGAGGTATGTCTGACAATCTAAAGGCAGGTGAGTGACAATAACTGCCAAAGGGAGGTAAGTCTGACAATAACTGCCAAAGGAGGTGAGTGACAATAACTGTCAAAGGGAGGTAAGTCTGACAATAACTGCCAAAGGAGGTGAGTGACAATAACTGTCAAAGGGAGGTAAGTCTGCAATATGACGTGGTACTGACCTTGGGCCACAACTCTTTGATGGAGTGAAGCTGCATCAACTTCATGGTATCCGCATACAGCTCAGAGCACTGGTACGCCAGCTTGGCCACCATAGCATCCTTCATTTTATCTACATTATAAATTATTAAATTAACATTAAACATTAATGCTGTAGTAAGCAAAATTCATGCTGATACCAAAAGGACCTGCATGTCAGATGAAAGGTTAATTTATTGACCACAAATCGAAGGGGTAGAAAATCTACAGTATTACCATCAAAGTATCTTTAGCTGTTAATCAAGTTAATGTTGCTGAAGGGGTCATCAGCACGGGTACTACAGGTACCCCAGGTACGTTTCTGTATACACAAACATAACCTAGCCAAAATCAGAATACAGAAACGTACCCTATAACAAGTTCATTCCGCATCATTTTCCTTGGAACTGTCATACTACTGGACGAGACTCATTTGATTGCGTTATAATATAAGAAACAAGCATTCACAGTGATGAATATTTTGCGATGCACAGTATCACTTGTAATCAAGTGAAAGGAACTATAACCTGAACTGACTTTGATTTTGAGTTGAGGAACATGGACTTATCTGCCGTTAAGGGTACCAGCTACCCTGGTAGGCTATGCTGAAAACGACCCTTTCAGATTTAATATTGCACACTCTCTGCACATCCAACATACCTGATGTAGCTTTCCTGTATATAGCCTCTTGAGCCTGGGCTAACATGAGAGCACTGAGTGCTCCCAGAGTGTCGGGGGTTAAGGTCAGGGGTCGGGTCTTGCTGCACATGTGACAACACAATGTCCTTCATGTGGGCAAATATTCCACTTGATTGCTGCAAGGAAATGTGATGCCATTAATAGGATACAGTAACATACATGTTATTCCCATTACACAACATAATGCTAGTTTAAGTGTGAAATTCTGAACTCCTTGTATCTCGAGTGAGTGAGTGAGCGAGTGAGTGAATGAGTGCGGTTTTACGCCGCTTTTAGCAATATTCCAGCAACATCATGGCAGGGGACACCAGAAATGGGCTTCACACATTGTACCCTTGTGGGGAATCGAACCCTGGTCTTTGGCGTAATGAGCGAATGCTCCAATGGGCTACCCCACAGTCCCTCTTGTCACAGCGATGGCACCAAATACATCATTCTTTATTACTTACCCCTCATTTATCAAAGCATATCACATCAGTGGGAAGATGTCTTTATGATGGGGATTTGCATTTTATCACTTTGGACCAGACACTGATTAATATCATGAGCAACATCCCTTGCTGTTCGTTTATGAAACACAATAAACCACTCCATCAAGCTTATGATCCATTCAGTCATCAGTACCTCATGCCTTGTAAGAGGCTAAGAGGATTGGGTGATCATGTTTGCTGACTTGGTTGATGCATGTCATTTTATCCCAACTGCGTAGACTGATGGCTCAGTGGTGCTCATGCTATCACTCATTGGATTATCAGGTCCAGATTTCATTATTTACAGATCACTGTCATATACTTGGAAAAATGCTGAGTGTGGTGTTAGGCAACAAACAAAGTCAAGTGACAAGTATAAATAATAAGCAGTGATGTTATCACACATACATAAAACTTTGCCCTACCTGAAATAGTTTGGCACAGGTTTTAAGTCCATCGTCACTGTCCTGATTCTGTACTGAAGCAATTTGTGTTTGGAGAGCAGCAATGTTGAACAACATGCAGACCTTCTCATACAACCCAGAGGCAATAGCTGAAGACAAGGAAAGTATGTTAGAACATTTCAATACATGATCCGTCAGATGTAATTCATACATGTAGCAACACAAACACTGAATAATATTCATCCCAACAAAGTAACTGGTTAGAATAGAGTGACTTGTTGAAGATTAAGAGGGTTCCTTGGTATTATTCTGTGACACTACTTCTGAGTGAGTGAGTGAGTGAGTTTGGTTTTACGCCTCTTTTAGCAATATTCCAGCAACATCACGGCGGGGGACACCAGAAATGGGCTTCACACATTGTACCCATGTGGGGATTCGAACCCGGGTCTTCGGCGTGACGAGCCAACGCTTTAACCATTAGGCTACCCCACCGCCCCGACACTACTTCTGAATAAGCGATTGATGTTTTTTCAATGCCACTTTTAGCAATATCACAGGGTTAGTTGGCTAGTTGTTTAATGTCACACTCAGCAATATTTCAGCCAAATTGCTGCGGTCTGTAAATAACTGAGTCTGGACCAGACAATCCAGTGATCAACAGTATCAACATCGATTTACGTAATTTGGATACGATGACATGTGTGGACAAAGTCTGAAAGTGTGAAGCGAGCCTGACCCCCGATGCCTTTAGTCGCCTCTTACAACAAGCATGGGTGTGGTGAAACACCAATTCCAAAGCGGATCTTAAGGGGTCCCATGTCACAGGGGTGAGGACACCCAAATGGGTAATGCTGCTTAAACCCAAGGACTCAACTTGACTTCTGTGCTGAAGAGTACTGTATATAATGTTTTTGTGATGTTGATGCAGGAGAGCTGAAGATTCCAGCTGACTTCTTAAACTGTTTAAACAGGTATTCCTGTAGCTTCAAATATTACCAAGTGTTCTTTTCCCAGCCAGGAAGCCTCCTTCATCAAAGGCATCTCTCCATTTGAACTGCACACGGATCTGAAGTGCACATACATTCATGGATAATGAGTGTCACAGGGGTGTCACATATTGTGATATATTGCGATGTGAAAGGATATATCGCGATATGTATTGCAATATATTGAAAGAAGTTGTTTTTTTAACAAAATACTACTTATAATCGAGTTACTGCTTGATTTATAAGCAAAACCACAACAAAATCACTATGCTTGATTAAGCTTTAAAAGAACCTTTTTATCATAACAAAAAATGAAAAAAAAAGTGAATAATATTTGGCACAATTGAAACAAGGAAATATCCAAAGATTTCCGAGTGTTACGAAGTTTTCCGAATAACTAGTAGAGACTGGGAGAACATTTCTAATTGAAGCCAACCAAATGTCACACTTCTAAAATGATTAGTCTTTGTTTGTACATCATCTTCATTCAGGATATTTCACCTTAATAAAGGAAAATCTATACACAACACAACCCCTCACATGGTACTCAGCTTTTGACATCATGGCATTCAGAAATGATGTATTATATCATCAGATTATTAACAGCTCAGACTTTATTATTTCCATTCAGAACTAGCTGCTTAAGCCTGTTTTAGAGATACAGATATCAGATATGATGCTACGAATCCATAGCACAGAATTGTATTGAATTATGGATTGGTTGATTAGAAAATTCACATGACTTGGCCTCTAGATGTACACACATACAGGCATCAGAAATAATGAGGCTGGTGAACATGCTGGAAACATTGCCATGGGATGTCAATTAAAGTACTGATTCCATATCAACTCCAATGTACACATTTCCCGAATATTAACAGTGGTATGCCTGACATGACAACAATGAATTTTCTAAAGAATAAAATGACTTCATACATTAGCTACAGTTCACTATAAAATTACCTGGTTTTCTGTGATAGGGAGCTTGCTCTCAATAGCAGCAACTTGGTCATAGTACCTGAAAAGAGAAACTACCAATCAGAACAGTTCCCAAACTTTCTATACTCCACCAAGTTAAGTATGGAAATACACTTAAGTATATTTAGGATTACAGAGAGTCTAATAAAGCCTCTTTTACATGCACACATTTACTCCTGTAAGTATATTTACTTGTGGAGTAAATTAACTCACAGGAGTAAAACTACATTTACTTTCTGTTGCCATAGATATTTATCCAATAGGAGTAAATCTGATTTGCATACCATCCACACATCTAGAGGACCAGAGGACTTGTCCTAGGTCTAACAAAGACCCGTTCAAGAACCTGGTGGACAGACAGTGTGCAAGGCACCTTTGATGATGACCAGTGGGTAGAGAATGTTCGAATGACTAAGGAAACGTTTGCTGAACTGGGACCTTCATTAGTAAGGACTTGTAGCAGTGACCTGAATCAATTCGATATCATAACGTGTAAACCCCCTTGTCGTAATGATTTGAAATTGCTTATGATGTGTTGCGAAAATTAGAACATGCCCTATTTCTCACGACGGATCACATGCTAAAAGTCCTTTACTACAGATCATACCATGTAAAGGCACCTTTATCATTGTATCTTTACAGTGGTACTTGTTATTTTATGGCTATCATTATCCCAGTAACATCTTCAATGCAATGGTGTAGTGGATAAGGCATCTGTCTTGCTCTCCAAAGACCGGGTTAGATACCTGGTGAGTCATCCGGGCTGGAACATTTGTGTGGTATCCATGAACAAGGTACCAAAGACCACAATGTCTCAGCCCACCTAGCTGTAAAATGAGGATGGGCTGACAATGTGAGCCATTAGCTCTCTAAGCACCTAACACAGTAACAGGCAGCGAGGCTGTATGGTCCCCAGGGAGTTGAGAAAGTATTGGAAGGTACAATGGAGTCCAATGATAGGGATAGTAATGTACATAGCGCTTTGAATATGCATAAAGCACTGACATGAGCGACATATAAACGACTATTATGTACTGAGGTGCGATATTTTATGCATGAAACGTGATGGTTTTGCATCATAACCTCCTATGGCACAGGTCAAATTGTTTTCAAACAAGCAGACTGTACAGTTCACAGGGCTGTTACAGTGAGTGAGTGAGTGAGTTTAGTTTTACGCCGCTTTTAGCAATATTCCAGCAATATCACAGCGGGGGACACCAGAAATGGGCTTCACACATTGTACCCATGTGGGGAATCGAACCTGGGTTTTCGGCGTGACGAGCAAACGCTTTAACCACTATGCTACCCCACCGCCCCCAAGGGCTGTTACAAACTACATAATCATTGATGCAGAAAAGGACAATTTGAACAATTGATATAAAACGTAAAAACTTTAAATGAATTATTGAAACATGAGACTGCTGTGAGACTGACTTCAATAACATATCAATTCCAATGAAACTTATGATGTCTTTTGATGAAACACTGATAAAACATAATAATGATGAAATAATAGTCCATATAAGATATGACGCATAAAATATACTTACAGGATCAAATCAAAGTGTCATTTACAAGATCAGTTTGCTCTTGGAGTAAAATACTCCAGGAGTAAATATACTTTTACTTTATCTCTGGAGCAGGTGTAAATTTACTCCAGGAGTATAAATAATTATGTGAGTAAATTCGTTTTGTGACTTTTACATGATCAATTTACTTGCATACACTCCTGTAAGTAAATGTGTGCATGTCAAAGCAGCTTATAGTCTACATTAGACTTTAACACAATAGGAACCATGATTGCATTTCAACAAATTTGAGAAAGTGTGGTGTGGTGAGGTGCACAGATGTGGTATGGTGTTTGAAGATTCTAGCAAAAACTTTCATGCTCAGTTTCGAAAACATGTAACCATGGTAATTTATTACCACAATGTCTAAGTAAAATACAACTCATATTCAGTCAATTAACAGAAGTGAGTGAGTTTAGTTTTACGCTGCACTCAGCAATATTCAAGCTACATGGTGGCGGTTTGTAAATATTGAGTCTGGACCAGACAATCCAGTGATCAACAGCATGATCATCGATCTATGCAACTGGGATATGGTGGCATGTGTCAACCAAGTCAGCAGGTCAGAGTGCCTGACCACCCAATCCTGTTAGTCGCCTCTTACGACAAGCATGGGTTACTGAAGACCAATTATAACCCAGATCTTCATGGGGACACAGAAGAAGAGGCTGATGTGTATTCTAGTCTAGATCACTTAGTACTTAATGCTCAGTGCTGCTCTGTATCAACAAGAGTTAAATAAATCAGACATGTATGATACATATACACTATGATATCATGTAAGGGACAAACAAAACACATAATCTTATCTTAATAGGGTTACATCAACACAAGGACTCACCTTATTGATAAACAGCATGCAAGTTAACATGATAAGTAAGAACACCACAAGCTTCATTTACATGAAATGAGGCTCTAGTAAATAAACATGACACAATCTTGTTCACAAATGTTATGTACATTGTCTAAAATTGTTCAACCAACATAATTTAATCAAAGGCAGAAACCTATCACAGTTGTCACCATCATGATAACATTGAACATGTTTATCTGAATATGTTGATCTGTAAATAGCAATTCAAACAAATCAACCTGTGATTTTAGAAAGGTAGATCTATCATAGTTTACTAATATTACAATCACCCAAGCATACTATTCAATCCAGGAAAAATCATCAACAATGGTATCTAATACAACTGCAGGCCTCATTATCAGAATCACTGAAGAGGAGCCTGCCTGACTCAACAGTCTGATCAGTATCTAAGTCACAGTATCTAAGACACTGCAATCAATGGAAAACAGTTTGGGTCTGCTAGTCCTTATATGACAAGAAGCATTATTTTCAGTGGAATTTAGCATGTTATATATAGAGGATACTAAACGACCTTCCATAATACCATTTTTATTAAACGAGTTAATGATTTGGTATCAAACGAGAGAAAGCGAGTTTGATGCTAAATCTTTCACGAGTTTAATAAAAATGGTATTTCACGGAAGCGAGTTTAGTATTCTGTTTATTACTCTCCAACATAAACTGACAGAAACTGCCTACGAAGTGTGATGACTCTCAGCTTTCCACGAGTCAAGCAAGGTCTAATACAATTGTGACAGAGGTATTAGCATTGTGACATCATTATAACTGTAAGTAAAACATTATGACGTCATATGTCTAGCGGTATTACACTAGTGTAATATTGTCGTAAAATATTACAATGCAGTATCTTCCACGGGCGAGTAATAAGGATTAATATCACCTGAGCTTACCAGACCAAACAGAAGTTTACTAGACTCAGCCCATGGGCTTCAATGGGTCTTCAGTGTGACGATTGAACGCTTTAACCACTAGGCTACCCGACTGAACCCTCAGGTTTCAGACTTGTGAATTAAGTCAAAGACGGCATTGAGATAAATATAGTGTGGCGTTGATTTAATGATCTCATATAGTGACAGATACAAGCTATATTGATACAGAACATCAAATTACACTCAGGCTGCATAATTGTTTTTTAAAGTTTCTTGGTCACATTTGCAAAGGTGAGGAGTGAGATGAACGTTTTCAATTACTGACAATCTTGAAATTAATTAATGAACTTCAATACAGAAAACAAACACTCTAGTTCACATCATGGTTTATTGAGAAGTAGTTTTAACAACTATGGTAATAAGATGTCAATCAGACATTAGAAATAACATAATGGTAATCTGGTGAGTTATCAGTGCTCTGGTCAACAGCTCTACTCACTCATGTCCAACTGGTCATCACTGTGGACTACAGCAAGTCCAAACAGACACAACACAGATGCTTGATGGGCATTTAGAAGTTGTCGTGTTGTACATATTGAAGTTGTAAATCCATACTATACGTTGCTAAGACACAACACAGTCTCTTTGTTCTTGGCCTATCAAAGGCCAACAAGACCCAGCATGCATTGATATGCTTCATCACACTTATTCTCAGATCTACAGCCTTTGTCTTGTCTGCATTCAAGTACCTTCTCCACATACCTATCAGTAAACTGTTGATTCGTCATATAATTCCACTTGAGCTAGGGGAAAGTAAGGTTAATATTGAGTCACATTTTTGGCTAGGGTCCAGCAATTAATTTATTTCTTGTTTTACGGATTATTGTCCTCAGAAAACCTAAAGGCAGGAGGAAAAAAAACAAAAAAAAACAAAAAAAAAAACTAAAAGTATTTTACTTTTGGCAATTTATGTAGTGTATATGGGGCAAAACACAAGCTATAACAAACCTTTTCTTGTAAATTTGCATATTTGACCAATAAAACATTAGGATTTTATTTTTTGAGCAGGGAAAATTAACTTTTATTTTTTTTCTTATTTTGAAAAAATACAACCGGTGGATCCGTAAAACAAGAAATAAAATTGGTCTGGCCTTATAGTGTATCTTATAGTGAAGCAGGAGGAACATATATTTTTTTATTGAAAACCCAAATGGTCTTAAGTGAGATTAAGCAACTGGTGCTCTTAGTTATGACATAGTCACTTGTGAAATCATCTTCATTATCAAATAAATAATTCTTTTAAAAATATTTGAAAGGCATTTAAAAATGATACACATAAAGTGGGAAATATCATGGATGTCCAGGGAAAGAAACCTTTCAAAATTTCCCACTAGACCACAGGACCAGTGAGTGGACAATAATTAGTGGTCCTGTCTGTATTTCACCGGTCCAAAATAAAATTTGTAGATTTGCTTAACTATCAATACAAAATTCACTGGCCACCAGGACCACTGCAAACTTATTATTTAGTGGTCCAGTTGAATTTTTACTAGCCAGGGACCACAGGACCAGCATACATTTTGCCCATTGGATGTCAGCTTCTGTAGTGTAATATGAGGAACACAATGTATAAGTGTTTATCCTTTTTAAGTAATTGGTGATTTACTAAAGGCTACATCATGAGGCAGAAGGTTCAGATTACACTGTTAATCACCGTTGACAGTTTCCCTGTTGTCTCACATTTGTTCGGGGCGGTGGGGTAGCCTAGTGGTTAAAGCGTTGGCTCGTCACGCCGAAGACCCGGGTTCGATTCCCTACATGGGCACAATGTGTTAAGCCCATTTCTGGTGTCCCCCGCCGTGATATTGCTGGAATATTGCTAAAAGCGGCGTAAAACTAAACTCAGTCAGTCAGTCAGTCACATTTGTTGACATCGACTGTATTGTAAACAACTAAGTGATAGGTTCAACGTACATTTTTAACAATTAATATTTCAGTCATGTATAACTACATGACAGCCTCATGTTGGAAGACAACCTGAAGTGATGCAGAGGCCAGCTACAACCACTTTGGTTAAAACAGCATTGGTAAAGAGCTGACAAGCCTAGAATACATAGCTGAGGTGTATATGGGATTCAAAGCCACAACATCATTCCTGAGGTACACAGAAACTGTGGTATCTTAGACAGATGGGGTATCCACGCCCTAGTATTACTGAAAGATGCTCCTTAGACTGCAGATGAAAATACGTAATAATGTACGAGAGAACTGTGTAATATTCTAATATGTTTAAAGAAGCATTTTCATTTCGATCTGCTATCTGTAGTAGTACTTTTATTTACAAACAGATGCTGATTGAAATCTCTATTTGGCTTTCCTTTTATGGATTCTTGGCAAATCCACCTATAGTCAATGAACTTCTGTCTCAAAAGCAGACCATAAAAATCATCCCCCTTAACGCTGATCAAGCCCAGTCCGCATTCCACAATATTCAAAACTCAACCAAGAGTCATTTACTACATCAACAATACAAGGTTGAGGGGGACTTAGACCTGTGACACTACAATACCTTATCTGTACACGGTACAAGAAACTACAACAGAGGGAAATAGCAGGAAATCAATATGACTGATATGTTGAATGGTGGTATTTTGAATCTTACATGAATGCATTACATTAGAATGTCAAATCATCCAAATAGACACAATAAATTTGAGAATGATGAGTTGTCAGAATGTCAAAACATATACCGGGTATATGTGTGAAACTAAACTGCAATAACATCCTGTATATTTAGTATGAATAATGATAGTAGTTTCACAGTTTTCTATATAGTATAACTCAATCGAATTAACAACTATGTTCAGGACATCGAAACTTATCAATTATTAATTCAATATTATTTGAATTCAGCCATGTGAATCAGGTGCAATATTTGATCCACACATGTATCATATGGTAAGTCATGTGTTTTAATCACTAACAAAGTTATTATGATCAGGGATGCAGCTCGCCAGACTGAGTATATTTACTGTTGATCTAGTGACTTTGATATAACTATGCTCGGAGTACTATTGCAATTTAGAGTGCAGCCTGTTAGCTTGACACAGGAGGAAAACCCAAAGTGATGCAGGTCACATTTAAAAAAAAAATGAGCATGTGCTGACAATCTTTGAGTGAGTTTAGTTTTACGCTGCTTTTAGCAATATTCCAGCAATATCATGGTGGGACACCAGAAATGGGATTCACACATTGTAGCCATGTGGGGAATCGAACCCGGCCCTCGGAGCGGCAAGGGAACGCTTTAACCACTAGGCTACCTCACCTTCGACAATCCTTGAAACATCAGTGAACAAATGTGGGTTTGAAACAAGACCATATTCCTGGCATTCTCCAGACAAAAGGACCTAACTTCTGTTCTAAATCCTAATATTGAGGCATCCCTTGGGCTTGTTAAATGGTTGGTAATGTTAACTGGCAGTTTGTCACATCATTTTTGGCAAAAAATGTTTCAGGTTAATAAATTACTGTTATGAGTTAATTGCCAAACCATTCAAACCACTAAATTGTGGAAAACTATTAATGTTTCCAGTATCAATGTCTGGTTAACAATGTGATAGGTTGGCAATATTACTAATTAAGTAACAACTGTCAAGGAACTATGAACAGTAAATTTCTAATTATGTGTGAACAAGTAAGTAATATGGCAATTATGGGCCGCAATTATGTTTAGCTATGTCACAGAATCAAATAAGACATGCTGTACTACAAGTTTACATTGAAATTTCCATTACATAAATGACCCAGTATCTTAGTAGTGAGTGAGTGTGTTTAGTTTATGCCACACTCAGCGATATTCCAGCTATATGGCGTCGATCTGTAAATAATCGAGTCTGGACCAGACAATCAAGTGATCAACAGCATGAGCATCGATCTGCGCAATTGGGAACCGATGTTATGTGCCAACTAAGTCAGCGAGATTGACCACCCGATCCCGTTAGTCGCCTCTTACGACAAGCATAGTCGCCTTTTGTGGCAAGCATGGGTTGCTGAAGACCTATTCGACCCCGGATCTTCATGGGTCCAGTAACTTAGTAACATCACTAATCCATTATTATTATGGAATCATTATTATAACTTAATATAATATGTGCTATGTTTATTATTTGTTTATATGTATTTTCAATGTCAACTTTTGACATAGATCACATGACACTGAACAACAGTGAGTTTGTTTATTTTCATGTCACTTCCGCCTGTTTCAAATAAATATAACGAAATAATGAACATGTCGCTGAAATACTTTGTATATCAGTCGGCGTAAAATGGCAGCGTATTTGATATTTCTACAAACATAAGGTATATGGAGATATCACTTGTAGTTTACGCTGATCGTCAACTATTTCACAATATACATTTGACAAACAAGAAATGACTTACCGGTACAGCACTTCTAACGCTGATTCGTGTTTGTCTACAGATTTATTTATCATCAAATTTCGAAGTTTGTTGAACTCGCTGAGAGCATGGTTGTAGTCGTCGGGTTCAGCAGACGAAAAGGTGTTTTGAATGAAACTTCTGAGAGGTTTTACAAGATCAACATCATAGGTCTTTTTCAACGGAACTGCCAAGAACGCCGCCATCTTGGATAAGTGTGATCACATGTTACTGTGAGCTATTTATAACTTTCGCGGTGACGTCACCACACGAGGTACCTGATTCACAACATCGTGGATATAGGTAATGCTATTCAGAACAAACTGGAGTGTTAGACATACGTGTCTAAATGTATCGGAAGCTTTAAAGCAAGGTGTATTTTTAACCAGCTACTCATTCACAAGCTAGATACAGGTGTTTCCCACAGAGTTTGTCCAAATGTTGACAAATATAAATTATGAAAGGGTGTTAATATAATTCATACTATTATCACATATACATACATAACAAACAGGAAACGACAAAAAAAACACCCCAAAACAAAACAAACAAAACAACAACAACAAAAGACAAAAACCAAACGACAAAAGGACACGATTACACAATGCCATTTTAGAAAGTGGTCAAATGTAACCTATGTTATATTTGGGATTACACTTTCTTAGTAAATTACAAATTCTAAACAAAAGGACAGACAGACAGAGAAAAGCAAACAAACGAATCGAAAGTCTCAAAACTTGACAATTATACAAGCAGCACTCGAAATAATAAGCGAACAAACGGACGGACAGAGACAAACAAACAAACAAACATGCGGCATTGGAGGTAATAAGCGCCCAGGACAACCCCAACGCGCCGGGGGAACTAATTAACAACCATACACAACAATTTGTTGTCAATGAACGAGCGGTTGTGAAAAAGCAGTTCCAACGTTTCATAGATTATTTTTCGTAATAGTTCCTCCGCAAATATAGTCCTCTTCCGTTTTCTGTAAGGAATGGGCCAGAAAGTGTTGGATATCACGTGGAACTCAGTCTCAAAATAGCTTCGCTTGCAAATACATAATTAGGTCGGTGGGGGTAGCCAAGTGGTTAAAGCGTTCGCCAATCACAGGTTCGATTCCCAGCGAGGGTACAATGTGTCAAGCGCATATTCATGGTGTCCCTTGCGGCGATATTGCTCGGACATGCCATAAAGCGACGTAAAAACACCCCCACTCACTGCTAATACACATGTACTTTACTAAGTTGTTAGAAAGTTGGCGAGAGGGTTTTATTTGAGCAGAACGCTTATAAAATACGGCGAATACGGTACCCATCATATTTTCAAAATCTGTTGCTTGATAAGTGAGTGAGTTGGTTGCCATATATTGCAGACATATATCCGTGTAATCACGCACGTCACTCCAGGGTCCACCCGTTAACACGTAGGAATGAAGTCCTACGTGATGAGTAATTGTGGCAACATCCCACGTGACACAGTGATGACTGACAACCGGGATCGGGTTAAAGGTGTGTCTCTGTGTAAAGTTTGCTGGCTTTCACGACCTAGAGGGCATTTTGTTTGTGGATAATTACATTTTATGTGATAGCTAAATACGAATGCAAGGTTTGGTTTGAAAACCTACGACTTTGCGCCTAAAAGGATTATTTGTACCATTTTATAAACCGTCAAATTGCAAGAAATACTAGAAAGAGAGTGAGTGAGTGAGTTTAGTTTTACGCCGCACTCAGCAATATTCCAGCAATGTGGTGGCTGTAAAACACTAGAAAGAATACGAAAACATCGTGATATATATAGTGAAACAATGTTATAAAAACAAACAAAGACAGAAAAAAACAGTAAAGACATCCTACCCCCAACTCCCCCAAAACAAAAACATAAATAAAACATACCCATCCCCGCCCTAAAACATCAATCAAACAAAACACACCCTTAACAAAAAAAAACAAACCAGCAACACAAAAACAAATACATGTAAAAAACACACACAAAAACCGGAGACGAGAAAAAGATCACATGCAGCATGCAAGTAACAGAATCCCCAAGGTTCCGTGCTAGGACCAGTGCTGTTCTCTGTGTACACTACACCACTGGGAAGAACAGCAGCCAAGCACAAAGTCAACCAACATCAATATGCAGATGAGAACCAAATCTATTCTTCATTCCCTACCACGGAAGCCCTGTCATCTTTGGACTCTCTTTCGGATTCCTGCAATGACATTCAGACATGGATGACTAAGAACCTATTAAAACGTAATGAAAGTAAAACAGAATTCCTGCTTATTGGATCAAAAGCAAAACTTTCCAAACTTGACAAGCCATCTTTCCGAATAGGAAATACTACCATAGACCCAACCCCGAAGGCAAAAAACCTAGGGGTTATTCCCGAAAGTCGTTCGCTTTCAATGCAGCAATGAAGTGGAATGCTCTGCGGTTGAACTAAAAACCAGCGCGTCACTAACATCTTTTAAGACTGCCCTCAAAACATATCTTTTCAAGTGTCATTTTCCATCTTAAGCGTACAGAGCATTTACTAGTGAATGATGCGCTATATAAATGCACTTATTAGTATTGTTACTCAGTATGAAAACGACCCGTGAAGATCCGGGGTCGAATAGGTCTTCAGCAACCCATGCTTGCCACAAAAGGCGACTATGCTTGTCGTAAGAGGCGACTAACGGGATCGGGTGGTCAGGCTCGCTGACTTGGTTGACACATGTCATTGTTTCCAATTGCGCAGATCGATGCTCATGCTGTTGATCACTTGATTGTCTGGTCCAGACTCGATTATTTACAGACCGCCGCCATAGAGCTGGAATATTGCTGAGTGTGGCGTAAAACTAAACTCACTCACTCACTCACTCACTCAGTATGAAAACAGAGGGTTACAATACTAACCATAAAACGCTAAATTGACAGAGGATTTGTAAAGGTCAAAATTGCGACTTTTAACCATTAAAAAATAAACCCAAAAGGTGACATAGGTCTTCATTAACCCACGCTTGTTGTATGAAGCGAATATACGCTTACCGCTCAGAGGCGGCTAACGGGATCGCGTGGTCAGACTGGATGACGTATTTGCTGCATGTCATTGTTCCCTAGTTTCGTGGATCGATGCTCACGATGTTATTCACTCTTACTATCCATGCATGAATCCACCCACACACCCGGTCTATAAACCGCAACTATCCATGCATGAATTCCCCCCTGATCTATAAACTGCCACTATCCATCACTATCCATGCATAAATTCCCCCTGATCTATAAACTGCCACTATCCATCACTATCCATGCATGACTTCCCCCTGATCTATAAAATGCCACTATCCATAACTATCCATGTATGACTTCCCCCTGATCTATAAGCCGCCACTATCCATCACTATCCATGCATGAATTCCCCCCTGATCTATAAACTGCCACCATCCATCACTATCCATGCATGAATTCCCCCCTGATCTATAAACCGCCACTATCCATCACTATCCATGCATGAATTCCCCCCTGATCTATAAACTGCCACTATCCATCACTATCCATGCATGACTTCCCCCTGATCTATAAGCCGCCACTATCCATCACTATCCATGCATGAATTCCCCCCTGATCTATAAACTGCCACCATCCATCACTATCCATGCATGAATTCCCCCCTGATCTATAAACCGCCACTATCCATCACTATCCATGCATGCATTCCCCTGATCTATAAACCGCCACTATCCATAACTATCCATGCATGAATTCCCCCCTGATCTATAAACTGCCACTATCCATCACTATCCATGCATGACTTCCCCCTGATCTATAAGCCGCCACTATCCATCACTATCCATGCATGAATTCCCCCCTGATCTATAAACCGCCACTATCCATCACTATCCGTGCATGAATCCACCCCCACCCCCGGTCTATAAACCGCCACTATCCATGCATGACTTCCCCCTGATCTATAAACTGCCACTATCCATGCATGACTTCCCCCTGATCTATAAACCGCCACTATCCATGCATGAATCCCCTCTTATCTATAAACGGAATCGAGTGCTCGCCTACTTGATTGATGCATGTCATCGTATTCCAATTGCACAGATCGATACTCATGGTGCCAATCACTGGATTGCCTGACTAGAATATTTTAAAGACCACCGTCATATAGATGGAATACTGTTGAGTACGCCTTCACTAAATAAAACAATGTTAATCTTCTGCTTGTCATAACATGCCATGTACATATACTTCTCACCATTTGTTATAGTCACTTTTAGCTTGATAACATTTAAGAATCTATACTGAAACGTGGCTCTATGCAATAAACAAGAAGTTGTCATCCACAAAGTTGTATGTTTCATTTCAAGGTTAGTTAATCAACCAACTAACAAACTTAAGGGATTAATGAACAGTGAGCGGGTAATGTTTTACTCCTCTGTTCAAAGAATAACAACATGTATGCAGCCTTCCAGGATGTAACACTTTATTGTAAGTACATTGTATTTCTTTACATCGTTCTGCTGGTCAAACAGGTCCGAAGTTTTATCCAAAAGGGTTACCAGAGGTACCAAAATTGACCAGATGGTAGTTGTCCGCATTGCCGATGTAGCCATTACTCTGAGTTTTTGCGAGGGTCAGTTTGATTGGAGCATGCCCACATAACTGGGTGATAAACTGAAACGAGATAGCTGAATGGTCAGAGTACAGATATACACCTTCATCAACATATTCGTCTTCACGTCATTGTACTGATGCACCCGTGAAGATCCGGGTTGGAATTGGTCTTCACTCACCCATGCTTGTCGTAAGAGGCGACTAGCGGGATCGGGTGGTCAGGCTCGCTGACTTGGTTAACACATCTCATGGGATCAGTGGATTGTCTGGAACCGCCGTCATATAGCTGGAATATTGCTGAGTGAAGCGTTAAAGACGGAACAAACAAACTGTTCTGGTGACGAAGAAGGATACAGTTCACGCCTTCATCACCATATTTGTATGGCATTATGTCAGCGTCATTATTGGGGTATATACGGTTCAATTTATTATTTATCTCTTGATACAGTCCTTTCTTACACCGTTCATATTTCCATTTATTACCCACGAGGTCAACGTATGGGTAGTTGCATACTAATCTCGTACGTCACACGAGTGTCGTATCGCGTTGATCTGTGTCGTAACGACTTGACCTGAGATTCTAACGATTTGATTGGATAACCTATGA